CACACACACACACACACACACACAGAGAGAGAGAGAGAGAGAGAGAGAGAGAAAGAGAGAGAGAGAGAGAGAAAAGGCACACAATCAATGAGCATATGGAAATTAAACACATATATTGAGCCTCTGTCCTGTACTAGAATGAAATAAAGAATCCATAGGTTGTGTGCTAAAATAAATTTGGTAAACTAGTAAGAAATATTATAAACAAAGTTAACTAAATAATTCTTTCTTCTCACTCCACTTAATAACAAAACTACATAGTTTAAAATGTGTCCTAGATTTTAGTTAAAGTTCATTCAGGCCCATTGACATATTGTTTTTAAATTCACACATTTATTTGCATTTTTAAGAGTTAACTTTTTTTCACACAATAACAAATTTCTACTGCAGAGAATAGAGCATGTACTAAAATGAATTCCTTATTTTTAGAAGCCATAAGTTATGGTGTAGAAGGTCTTCTGAGAAATGTAATGTGATGTAGAAAATTGGCTAAAGTTACAATGCATCAATCATATAGTCAGCAATACCTAAGTATACTAGATACACTTAATGTAGCAGGTATGTTATACCTAGTATAGATTAATATACCTTTAATAATTCCTAAGTCCTCCATTAACATGGGATAATACATTTAATGTCCAAAGAGAATTAGTTTTATGTACATCATCAACTGTCATTAGGCATTATATTTGTTTCCTTGAAAATGAACAAAACTATTTAGAATGCTATAATTTCTTTGAGTCATTATGTCAAGGATACAAACATGGAGCTATACCAGCTATACTGGGTCAATTTCTGCAAGACATATATGGATAAATTGTAACCAATCCCAAGGGAATTCCTTACTTGGTGACTTTGGAAGCCTCCGTGAAGTCACCATAACAGAGGGAACATGGGGACATGGAAGGATCAGAATCTTAGTTTTAAGACAAAATGTTCATATGCATCTCAGATTGGCCCCACAAAGTGACATTCTTACCTCATCCCCAGGGACCTGGGATTAGATGTCTCCACCACTGCATGTAAGTCACAGGGTATAGATTTGTTATGACTCATTTGCAATAGTTCATATTGTCATAGTACACAGAGGTATAGGAGAAAGGAAACAGCTATCTAAGCAGCACTTATCCCAAAGGAAACTTGACTTAGCTTTCATCTTAATGGTTTTGATATTCTAAGTATGTCCATAGAGGATGAAATAAGGGCCTGCTCCCTGTGCCTTCTGCCTTCCTTCGATGTTGGAATGACTTAAGTTTTGCATGTGGTGTAGTGCTTACTTTTGCATGCTTGTGACAGGATTTATAAAAAAAGAATGTTATGTTACTTTGTCTCTCTTGCTCACTGACAGGTAACTGGGGAAGGAGAGCTTTTATTTGAGTTACCGGTGGCAGTCTATCATCCATGGAACCAAGGCAGTGTGTGGGAGGCAGGAGCTGAAGCAAAGAGTGAGAAGGTGTGCTGCCTGGATTCTTGCTCCCCATGGCTTGCTCATTGGGTATGTTCTATTTTATTACAGTAATTTTATTTTCAATTAAAATATACTCAACATCCTTGATCCCCTCTTCTCTGCAACCCTTCTAATCCATCCAAAAATTCATGTCCTCTTTTATTATTGCTGCCTTTATACATATATAAGCATATATATGCATATGAAACAATAAGTAAATAAAGCCAGCTGTGTCCATTTACTCTTGTTTGTATGTATATGTTTTATAGCTAACACTATACATAACGGATATTGGCCGTTAAGAATTTCATTTCTAGGGAAAACTAATTCCTCCTCTTTCAGTAGTCCTTAATGCCTGGAGTTTCTATCTAGCTCTTTTATACACTCAGGAACAACTGCCATGGGATTGTCTTGCACAGTGGGCTGTGATTTCTCACATCAATGAAGGAAATGACCCACAGACTTGACCACAGGCTAGTATGGTGAAGGAAATTCCTCAGTGGAGGCGGTTCCCTTTCACAGATAACTCTAATTTGTGTTATCTTGGAAAGAAACGCAAACACAGAATAAATGGTGACCAAGAAAGCAAAATTCATTGGCTTAGAAGAAAAGAGTAGACAGATTTATTTGGACTAATAAGTTTCCAAGGTCTCAGGCCACCCAGGCATGTAAGTGTAAGTCCTGACTCTTGACCTTAGAGTGGTCCCAGAGGAAAGGATTTATAATAGCAGGAGGAATGGATAATGTCCTCCTAAGAAGGGCCATGCTTTTCCTACCTAGCCCTTATATATAAAAAGGTCTTCAGGTACTTTTAAAATAGTTCCGGTGTTTATGGACTAAGATTAAGTATATACCCTTGTGGTGGTGGCGCATGCCTTTAATCTCAGCACTAAGGAGGCAGAGACAGGGAGATCTCTGTGAGTTCCAGGCCAACCAGGGATACAGAGCAAGTTTCAGGATAGGTTCCAAAGCAATAAAGAGAATCCATGTCTTGAAAAGAAAAAGAAAAAAAAAAGAAGAAAGAAAGGAGAAAAGAAAAGAAGGAAGAAAGAAAGATTTAGTATCAGGACAGAACTTACAGGAAGAATCACCTATTCAATTGATCAAATGACAGGAGTCTAAATCCTAAAAAGTCATCTGTGTCATTTCCTTATATTTTATGAAAAAAATCAATGAGTTCCAAAAATGGCAAATTTGAATACAACACTAAGAAATAAAAGTATATGACTGATTTCAAAAATAGAAAGAAAAATCTGTACCCTATAAACTGACAATAACAAGAAGTGAATGACTCAGTATTAAGCTGTGTAGGGACCACACTGCCAGCCCACATTCATCAAAAAATCTCTTCTAAAAGTGTGGTTTGTCACATCAAGTTCATCATATTTGCTTAGAGTTTGTCCTTGAATAAACTTTCAACACCACATTCAGTCTCATAGTTTTCAGTGGAATCTTCAGCCACTTTCTCTGCCCTGATTTCTACTGGAAAGAATTCATGCAAGTTACAGAAAGATTTATGAACATTCATGCAACTTTGAAAGTCAACCAAGATACACATCAACATATTCTGGCTTTACAATAGTAGGACAAGCATAAGTAGGTTTTATATTTTATCATAGTGATGTTACAGACCTATTGTAGGTATCTGGCTGCAGATTCTTGAATTTGTAATACTTAGAAGGTTACTGAACTAGTAATTATTTTTTTAAAATGTGTGCAGCACTTGGAAATGCTCAGACAATGTATTGGAAATAGAGGTAGAGAGACTTTTCTTTAGGTGTTCCAGTTTCTCCTGCCCCAAAAGTGGAAGTGAGTCAGCACAGATTGCATTAGAAACCGGGAAATGTATGCAGGAAAATTCCAACACCAAAGAGGGAGAGAGCAGCAAGATAGGCTTCTGTGGGAAGCCACAGCCCCAAGATGGCGCCTGGCTGGATGCCAGGTAGTCCGAGCTTAGCTTTATTTGGAAGTGCTTGATGGATCTGGTGTGCTTCCTCCTTCTGTGGCATGAGCTGATTGGGCAGTAAGTGCACATTTAAGTGATTGCTAGGGCTGGGAAGAGGAGAAGCAGGGCGGAAGCTGATGTACAAGGTTCCTAAATAAACTGCTTGAAGAAGAGACAGGCTTCAGCAATTCTAATGGCCCTGTAGTGCAAAGGATGTAGTGTTTTCTGTCATCCTATTAGCTCTTGTGCTCATTGTCAGTTATGACCTTTTCCTCTAAGAAGGTGGGTGGGGTACACATCTGCATGAGCTTGCTTACCCATGCTGTGAAGTGCAGAGATCTGTGTTCTTCCTCGCATTACATTGAGGTTATTCATTGCTGCAACTTTACTACATGTTCTGCATGTAGTTTACTAACATGTTCTGCAATATGGAGCTTCTCCCATGATCAAGGTAGAGGAGGGTTGCCCACTAAAGTATTCAGTCTTCACATCAGAGGCTCAAGTCAAAATAACAATCACTCCCTGGGTATCTGCTTTCCAGTTTTCTCAGAAAAACTTACGACTCAATGTGAGCAACATCAGAGACAAGACGTTGTATATTCAAACAGCACTAAACTTTATTAAGTAATACTTCATAAACATAGACAGAATGTACAATTAACAGAAAAATTAAATTCAAATTTTCTTATGTAAAATAGAGCATTGTTTAATTTGCATCATAAATAGTAAGTATCATAAAATAAATAGTGATTGGGACATGGGGTTGGAGAACTAAAATATTAATGATGACAATATTTAATTTTAGTTTAGTGTATACAAAAATTTATTTAAAGAAATATGACTTTTAATTGAATATCTCTTTGAATAAACACTTCTTTACAGCACTTGAAAGGCTGAGGCTGATATTAAAAAGAGACTTGAGATATAAATACATATTTAGCATTATAAGAACTTCCTTAGAGCTCAAAGAGTAAACAGATGTACTTATTTGGAACCATGAAGTGATTTGGAACATGTGTCGCTTTTAGAAATATTCCTAGCTGGGCTAAGTCCAGTATCACATGGACAGAGTTAAACACTAATGGGAAAGATCTATAGTGTCCCATGTTAGAACAAATAGCCTGACTGGCAGTAGAGACTGGTGCTTGGATTGTTGGATTGGAGTTTCTTTTTTTTTTAATTTTTATTTTTTTTCAAAATAAACAGTTCAAACAAAAAGTTGATAAATAAACATTAAATATCAAGGAAATGAACAAAACCAAATAACAAAAACTTATGAACAAAAACAAGAAAACTATAAAAATTAAACAATTCAAAGAAGAATTCAACATTAACATCAGTCACAAAACCTTGAAAGCAGCATGCTTATCAGCAAGTTATGTTGTGTGGGTTGTGGATCTCTAATATGTAGTAGGCACATACATATTATACATTGCCTCAGATGCAGCAATTCCTTGCTCCAAGTTAGCAGTACATGGAAGAGTGTTCAGGCATCATCCACTTTTTACAGCCCAGAACCTGTTTCAAGGCTCTTTATGCCACCCTGCTTGAAGTCCTGGGCAACTCGTATAAAAGACTGTGGAGCAGCCTCAGCAGACGGTGGGTGCTGCTGTTACAGTAAGCGCTTATGCAGAATTTCCCATACCATCTTCTTCCTAAACAGAGGCATATGCTGCTGAGAGAAGGTTATGGGTTGGCCTCTTGAAATATAGTCTGCATATTTGCAGGCAAACACTCCACAATCGTTCCTATTCAGCTGCAGAGGAATCTCCTCTGCTGCCATGCTATATTGCTTCCACTCTGAAGGGTTCAAATCTATATTCCTTCTTGCTTTGCTCTCTTCTTGCAGATAGTGGAAAATCATCCTCAGGACACTTGGTCTCTTGAGTCCCATGGAATCCCAGTAGACAATGGTCTTCTTTCTAAGGTCTATGACCACTAGGCTCCAGTGGACCTCCAGGTGTACAGGCACCAGGACAATGTCCTTTTCAAAGATATTCACAGACTGGGTCCACCTTTTCACAGACCTGTATCCCCCACACCTGAGTTTTGCATAGAAGAATGTATTAAAGGTGTGAAGTGTTGCATAGCCTGGTGATTTGCTCCGTTCCAAGAGTAGGTTCAGGTAAAAATTTATGATGTCATCATTGAGCCACTGGCTTTCCTGAAGAGTCTGGATGTCTCGTCGAGTAATGTTCAGTTTAAACGCACTGCTTAAGATGTCCTCTTGGGGCCCTGGGCCCAGTGCATTCATGATTTCCTTCTCCATGTCAGGTGTTACATCAAGACCATGGTCTTGGCTGCTGCTCTTCCCTTTCTCCTCAAAAGGCTTCTCCTTGGCCTCAGGCATTAACAAGTTCTTGTGGAAGATGCCACTGGTGTCACTATTTCTGGAGTTTGGGGCCTGAGTTCCTCCCAGAATACCAGGCTGGGTGTGGTGTCTTGTTCTCTGGTTATCAATGTCCACTCCAACCATCTTTTGTGTTTCCAAAAGCGTCTCTGGTGAATAGCTCTTTTCAGTTTTGACTGGTGAATGATGTCTTCTGACAGGAAATCTAGAGCAATTTGGCTGGAACTGAGTTGTTTCCCATCCATGAACAGGCTCTTCCATGCAGCCTTTGATGTTCTTCAGGTTGTCAGCAGGTCTTGTGTGACTGTTAGGAGGGCCACAGTGGATGGCATCCCTGGGTTGAAAATGGTCCAACAACCTGCACTTTTCATTATGCTGTTTCTCAACATCTTCCTGTATGTTAGAGTAAGTGCGCTTGTGCCTCTTGCCAGCACTCACATACTTTACCTCAATAACATCCTCTTCTTGAGGGTCTATGAGCCTGTCTCTTTTTTTTGGGTACAATGGACCCTCTTTCTTGGGATTCAATAGCTGATGTTTTCCAGGTTCTTCATGGGCAGGCTCTTTTTTACAGTGTTCTTTTTTCCCTCTCTTTGGAGACTGGTGTGGATCTTCAGACTTCTCCGCAGTTCCTGCTTCTTCCTTGCTCTTCCTTTTTCGAAATGTCACTGCAGGTTTGGGACACATGGCACCAAGATGATGGTTAGGTTGCCATGTTGAGGGAGTTCTTTGCCTACCTTTGGTCAGGAACAAGCTTTCTGTTTGGCAAGAGCTTTTTATTTTCCACATTGAAGTGCAGGTTTGTCTGACTCTTTGGGCATCCTTTGGGGATATTGTTGTATTGATACCTGGTAGATTAGTTAACCCACTGGGAGCCATCTTATCTTCTCCAGACATTTTGTTTAAAGTTCTTAAATCACAGTGTAAATGCTAGATGTCTGCTTTAGTCGTAAAGATACACTTTTAGTGTTGGAGTCAAGAAGAAAGTGACACCAGGTGGGTGAGACAGAATGAAAGTGCACTTTTAACTTCCTGAGTCCATCAATTAATTCTTGTCTCTTAGGAGATAGTTCACCAGTAGCTGTAGACAGTTCGGTGGTGGTAAAGCCAAAGTCTTGTATTGTGGGAAAAGTGAGGCTTCAAAGAGCAATAAGCCTCCTTGTACCCCCAAATTGAGGCAATAACAATAAGCTTCGTAGCCAGTAGCTCCAAGGCATACAACCTTGGCAGCACAGTCAACGAACTGGAGGTAAGAATGTTCGCTTCACTGTGGCCCTGGTTATGAGCCCGATGTTCTATAGTTGGTTGTGATGCAGTTTGATGCTCCATGACATTCTATAGTGAGCACAGCCCCCACCCACCATCTTCCAGGTCAATGGTCCCTTTTGGTGGCTTTCTTTTTGAGATAGGGTTTCTTGTAACAACCCTTGACTATCCTAGAACTCAGTTTGTAGACCCGGCTGGCCCAGAACTCACAAAGATTCACTGCTTGTGCATCCTGAGCACAGAAATAAATGTGTATGCCACTGATGCTGGCCAGTTTAAGGATCTTAATGCTTGTTTCCATGCTTTAAGTTCTCCTTGGACTGTGCCTGTTTAAAAGTTGGAAGCAAACACTGAGTCAGTTAAAACTTAAGGGGCACGAAGTGTAGCTCTGTCTTCAGAAAGGGAGAGACTATTGGGAAGAGCAGATGATTCACTACACTTCATTTTTCTAAAATGGAAAGTCTAGGAGAGAAGGTTACTCCCTTGGAACCATTTAGACATATCTCCTTTCTTTTCTTCTGGACAGAGGATTAGGCTCAGTTGATCTATACATTTATAGATATTTGATTTATTTTGCAAAAGTATGGCTCAGACAGTATATGTTCCTCTAGGCAGAATCTAAGAGCCATGCAGAATCACCTTACTCCCTCCTCCTAGCCCTAAGGCACAGATACTGGATCCAGGTCAATCTGGGTCAGCTACACCCTGAGTGATTATCAACCCCTCACAAAAATCAGTGAAAGCAAAGGGGAGATGCTATTTTGACTTGTTGATCCATTGAGCTGTGTCAGTTGTTTGTTGTCTCATCATATTCTAGCTCATCCTATGATCCTGTTGCCTCTTAGGGAAGAATATCCTTTCTGTTACTGTTTCCAGTTAGAGAAAACCTAATGCAAGTATTACTCTATGACTTAGAGTCTATTGCTTCTAACATTGTAGATTAAGTTTCCCTATAAGAATATTCTCACGGTATGACTGTATTTCCTCTCAATATTTTTAGCAATTATAAAGAAAGTTACATCTGTGAGAACTGGTGGACACCAATTACCAACAATGCATACGTTAACAACAATAATGGGGTAATCAGTGGTTCTGTTGGACTCTTAGACTCTGGTGAGAAAGACAAAGCATTGCTGTGACAATACTACTATAATGACAAATCATGAATCTATCTGCTAGAAAACATTGGGAAGAATTCAATTGAAAGTCATTATTAAAAACATAAAGCAGATGTGGTTATGCCTGTCATCTAGCACTAAGAAGACCAAGGCAAGAGGATATTTTTTCAGCATATTCTTGTGTAGACAAACATGAAAAAAAAGTGTAAAGTATTAAACCTTACATGATACAGAGACATTGGAAGTTTGAGGAACAATGCATTTTTAAATCATTCTGTATTCTGTCATCTAGAGAGCTGTGTTTAAAAATGAATAAATGATGCTGGTACAATTCCATATTGGAAAGGAATACTTCAAAATACACATAAAGCACAATTTATAGAGGTTGGCATTAAAATTCAATTCTAATCTGTGTATCACATGCAAATGTCATGTCCAATCTCCAGCATTATGCTCTCAAGAATGTGTCCAAATTTATGACTAAGGAGTAACTTAGTGATATGGTACCCTTCTCTGATAAACAGAGGATTATAATCAGGGATATATTTTTTCCTTTCTTTTTCTTTTTATAATTTACCATCAAAAATATTCTTCTTCCATGATCTCAAAAAGTGCTAATGTTTACAGTTTTACAAAATGCTTTGTTCCTACAAGGTAATGAGTCACAAAGTCAAATAGGGTAACTACTAAGTTCTACTTTTATTTGAAATGCACTTACTTGGATGACTGAGGCTCTGCTGGACATCTGTTACAAAGTTAAGCCTTGCCTGCGCTAAGACACAAAATATGTTTATTTGACTCCCCAACATTCAACCCTTTTGTTTTTTGCCTTTATAATTCTTTGACTAACATTAGCCAGGGCTTTACCTAGAGAATTTTCTCTGTTTTGGACCTCTTGGATCTGGTTAGTGTTTTTGTTTTGTTTTGTTTTTTTGTTTTTGTTTTTTTTTTTGTTTGTTTGTTGGTTTGTTTTTGAAAAGCCTCTATTTTGCTAAACCAAAACTTGAGTCACACTGTTAAACCCCAACATACATGGATAATAAATATATATTTCTCAGAGGCCTAGAATGATGCTTTGGCCTGGTCCCTCCCACCAGTCTACAGACACTGGGATAGTTGTAAAGAAGGGAGACCAGATAGACTGAGTTCAGCCATTGAGGGTTTTGGACATCAGGGTTCCAGTGGAAGACTGAGGCAGCTTGTGAGGGACCAATAGAAGGTGGTATAAAGTGCTCAGAGTTGCCCAGAAGAGAGAAAGATTAGGTATGTACATACCTGCCCTGCCTTTCACCTGATGAAAGACTGTTTAATGGCCCTAGGGAGAGGACTAAGATACATTCGGTGAGGTGAGGTAGGCAGCCATAGCCTCTGCAGATACAGAAGGCTCATTTGTACATTGATATATTATTGCGGTAAATAAGGATCAGGATAAACAAATAGGCCGAATAGATGTTTATTCAGGGAGAAATAACTTACAACCTAGACAGATGAACACCAGGAAATTCAACCCGATCCTCTCCTGTCCGAGTCACGCCAGAAAGAGAGAGCCTTTCCTGGCCCCCTCCGACCTCCTTCCACAGGTCACTTCCGCCCATGGCTCCACCCCCCCAATGGGCGTGGTCAGTGCCACAGAAGGAGACAAAGTGAATATCCCACTACAATTCCCCTTTTAGTCTAAAGAAAAGATTTAGGCTTAATACAAAACTATATACAAAACAGTGAATAACAAGTGTGCTCTAAGAAAAGGAAAATCGAGAACAAAATGACCTACATATCTAGTCCTAGGGTGAGGGCATAATGGAGTTTACAATAGAGTTGTCCTAAGCTGGAAAACGTAAGTCTAGTACTTAATATATCTAACTAGGAAGAGAGAATAATAGTTGTGATAGTTTAATCTTCAACCTCATCAAGACCTGAGAAGGAAATTAACAATACTAGAGTAGACAGGAAATGCGGATGGACAACTTCCAAAAGGTGCAGCAAGGACAGAAACAGCAAGCCACCTGAACAGTCACCCTAGGTCTCACAGCGATGTTGGTACACCCAGATTTGGCTAAGGCCAAGAGAACTTGACAGACCACAACAACAGCAGGGAAATAGAATGACTGTCTTACCCTGACTTGGCAAGGTCAAGCAGTCTTCTATATTTGTCTCCTGCAAGCACATAGGACTGTATGTCCAAATCAGTGGTCAAGGTGGGGGCAATTCTATGCCCAACAGGCCATTAGCTGAGGCGAGATTGAACTCCAGCAGGAGCAACAACAGTGTCCAACATATTTTTGGGAAAGTGCACGGTGCTGTCAGGAGCAACAGTGTCTCATGTCAATGGAGTACTAATATTAAAACATTTAAATGCCATGTTCTGTATGTCTATGAAGTGATTGAAGATTAAGCATCTATATCTGACTAATCTCATAGGTACAGGAAATGTGAGTGAAGATAATCTGTAATACTCGGGAACTTAGCTAAAAAGACTGATTAAAACTTTCCTGAGTAAAGCAGGAACAAATACTTAAACAATATAACTATTTACATATACCTACATGTAAATCCCTAAAATAGAGGTAGAGTATAAGTGTCAAGACAAGAGGTAGAACTATAAAGGGCAGCAAGATAAATATCCCAAATTGTATCAATATACAAAATGTCTTGAATACAGGAAAAGTATACA